TCTGGGTTGATGGCTGAGTGGGTAGTCACCACTCCAACAGCGTTTTGAAGGCTCACCGGTAGCTAGAGAGAAAGGAAATATCACTAGAAGTACTTCAAACCTATTGGGGTGACAGCTGCCCTACCCACTGCGCCAGGAATAAGCAGGGTCTAGGCAATAGAACCACAGCCCCAAGTTCTAAACCCCCAGAAGCCCCATAAGCCATAAACCCGAAACCCCTAAGCTTAAGAAGTGCGGATCAAAGTCCACCCTGAACTTGTGTTTGTAGCCTTGGTCCCAAGACCTTCTGCAGGGTTTAGGGTTTCGCCTGAATCGGGTTAGGGTTTAGGGTATGGGCTTCGAGTCCTGATGCTCAGTGTCTCATCTTAATCATGGGGGCTTGCAGAGGTTCTGAGAAGGTAGTTTTACCAGCCGCCCGCGGCGTGAGTTGGGACTTACGTAGTGTTTACGCTTTGTGGCCTTGAGATCTTCGGAGCTTCGCGTTCGAGATTTCAATGTCCGCGCTCATCATCTCTTCCCCACGCCAAGCCCCATGATAGGGTCAGCCTAAAGAGTGCAAATGGGTTCACATTCCTACTTAGCCCTAGGAGTCCCCATTCCCTTGCGCACTCTAAGCTCCCAACTCTATCCTACGAGAAGTGTGTGCGAGATGTGGGGGACCTGAGGGGCCATATCAAGGACTACAAGACAGAGTTACCAGATAAGTACTCGGAGCTTCATGGGTACTTACAAGCACTCTTAGGGTTGTAAGTACCCTCAGTAAGTTTATAACTATCGTTGCCATACTACTACCCCTACTTATAAACACCCGTGAGCCTCCAAATGCATGAAAGAGGGTTCATGCTACTGTTATTGGTGAGCATACATAGGGCTCCTTTTTGATATTGGTGGGTGTACATGTTGGGTGCGGTCTTCTACAGAATGAGCACCCCAGAAGGTCAGTTCTCTCGGGTTTCGTGTTGGCCCCCGGTCATCACACGGTCTCCAACGGTCTTCTATTGAAGGTACCGGCCTCTCCACGGCAGGGTTTACGCCGGGTGCCCAAGAAGCGCCGCATTCTATTTCAATGTTCGGGGGTTGAGATTTTAGGGACTTAGACGGCGGGGTTGATCTCATACGAGATGTTTTGCAGGCGCAGAGGAATCGTTGATTCCTCAAGTTGGCATGCCACGTACCTCTCTCGAAAAGGAGACCTCATCCCCAAGCCCTACACCTGAAATGGAGATGCATCATGACGCCCTGCATCCGAAACCCCAAAAGGCCCTCATCTGGGTTGTTACCACCTCCCAGTGGGTGCCTGGTGCCTTCTCTTGGGGGGCCCCCTTTTTCAAGCCCACACTGCACCCGATACCAGACCCAGAACCTGGTGGGTAACAGGGGAACTTGCAGGGGCACGCTAGTACACAGCCCTGGCTCCCAAAGCTCTGCCAGAAGAGTCGCATGCCATCCGGTATTCCCGTCCAAACACTGCCGCAGATGAACGGTCTTGTATTTGAAGCGAGGCCGCATGCGCCAGCCCAGAAGTGCGAGAAGCATAGCCCTTCCGAAGCCTAAACCCTAAATCCTTACCCTAAACCCTGGCCCTTCCCATCCCTCAAAAGGTCCCCCGTGTCAGTCCAACCCATGTCTACCCGAGGCCGCTGTCCAAGGACGTGCCACGCTCAGTTGAAGTTTGGGGCTCAAGGGGTGACCTGCGACCCACAAACCCCAAACCCTAAACCCGAAACCCTAAACCCTAAACCTCCAGGATTTAGGGCTTAAGGTTTAGGACTTCGGGAGCGGTTCCCTAGACAGAGCCGGTGCATGCCTTGCTGTGAGAAGCCTGGGGTGGCCGTCAAGCGCTTTGTTTCACGTTTCGGTACCGAGGCCTGAGCGTGTCCACTGTATTTTGGGAGCCTTTCTAGCTGAGTAGGTAACCTTAAACCTGTTAGGTAATTTTTATCCTACCACGATTGAAAGGTTAAGCATTTTTGGCCCACGGTACTCAGGAACTGGGGAGATATACTATACGATGGACTCGTCTTGAATGTAAGCTCAAGAAACACGCATACACCTCTTCTGTGAATACTCGTGGTTCTCACAGGAACATGGTATATGCATAAGGGACCATACCCTTTGCAAACACAAGTTTTAGAGTTTTTGAGGGACGAGGGTGTAGGGTTTGCGGAACTTGGCGATGGCGAGTGTGTAGGAGCCCTGCGATACAGTCAGTGCTGTGAGATTTCTTCCATATCAATGTTTCTCCTTGGCTGGATTTGTGTGCCCAACAATTAAGAAGTCAACATTATGGGGTTATACAAAGCCGCAAAGGAGTACTTGGCGGTTCATGTGTATTTTCCAGTACCCATGAACCTCCAAGTGGGGCCCCGTCTATATAAAGCACCTGCTTCCCGAACTCCTTGCCAAGAACCATCATCTTCTAATCGCTTAAGAACCCGGAAAAAATGAAAAAAAAACATTCTTCCTTATTAAGGGTAATATGGGGATGATTAATTTTCCTTTTGGGGTTCTTAAGCAAATAGTAGTCAAGTATCCTTTCATCTAGTCGTGAGTTTCAAGGGGAGAGAAGCTCACGGGGTGTTCAGCAGGACATGCCCTAAGGCAAGCTGTGACGCAGAACGCCCTTTAAGCCCTGATGCCCAAGCGTATAAACGCCAACAGTTGGCGTTTTGGGGTTTAAGAGTTACTCTTAAACCCGAAGCCTCTCACAGAATAGTCTCAAGCGGAGGCTACGTCCAGTCGCCCAGCGAGCTGCGGAACAGCCCTGGCTCTCAGCCAGTACTTGGAGGTTGATGGGCAAAAGGATGAGGGTTTGAGTGGGATTCTGGGCAGCGAAAATCTGAGGTAACTCAAATCCCACTTCTCCGAGCAGTCCCAAGGAGGCTGTTAAACCGAGAACTTTCAGGGTTTCGAAGTGGGATCTGCCTGTCTGGCAGGCGTCCTTCACATGAGAAGGCTTGAGGGCCGATGTTGTGCCGGTTTAGCGTTTAGGGTTTCGGGGGTAGACTATCGAACACATCATTGCCCCACAGCCCTAAACGGAAATGCCAGGATCCTAAGCTCTAAGAATCTCCAGAAGGCCTGAGAGGCCTGAAAGACCCCACAAACCCTGAAACCCTAACACCCCGAACGGCCGATGCAAAAAAGAGCTTATGCTGCCAGCGCTCGTGGTCATGTCCCTTCTGTGAAGGTACAACACAGCGTATGGGCTTTAGGGTCTTTCGTTCTCTAGCTTCCGCGCCCTTTGGGGGGGGGGGGGGGGGGGGGGTGCCGTGGATAGTGATTGGGCCTTATCGCCTCAGCGGGGAGTGAACTCTGAGTTGTGATTCCCAGAGATCACAAGCAGCACATGCGGGAGCCACAAGCTTTGAGCCCTATACCCTAGGCTCCTAAAACCCGAAACCCCAAACTCCTAAGCCCAACTGCGGAGCAGCCATCTGTTGGCCCGAGTAGCTCTTCGAAGACGAGCCACCGCCACATGCATATCATGGCTTGATCTATGCTGAATGCCTGATAGCGTTTAGGGTTTTGGATGTTGGGCCTTGGGGTTTGTTAGGTTTCTTCAGAGTTCCTTGAAGTTCCGCAGGAATTTCGTATTTGTAGGGTTTTGCAGAGCTTGGATGCGCAACAGCGGCTACACCAAAGAAACCTACCCACCAACCCCTGAACCCTGAGCCCCTACTCCTGGCCGCCCGCAACCGAACACCTCAACCCCTGAATCCCACTTCGACCCCGCCAGGATTTTCGGGGTGTGAGAGGTGTTGCGCCCGCGAGACACGTCCGGATGCAACATGGGAGCTAGATGCCATCCTGTGTGCGGATGCTCGGCAGCAGCTGGCTCTGTGGGGTTGCGAGAGCGAACTTACCTCCTGAATAATTAATCGAAGGGCCAGCAGATTCGCTGCAGGTGCTGCAAGTCCCCGCAGCCTCTTCCGCATGATGAAGCGAGTGCGGTCCTAGTCCATGCGCTCTTGAAACGAACAACCTGAAGCTCTGATGCGCCTGGCACCCTGAAGTGTGCTTGAGTCGTCCGAGTCCTGCGCGCTGTGCGAGATCTGAAACGCACGCGCGCGCGCGCGCGCGCATGCGCGTGCGCGGGTTCCTGCCCGCCGCCCCGACTGCTTGCATGCGCACGCACGAACAAGGCACCAGCACCACTCAGAAATGCAAATACCACCACCGGCTCGGGAGTTCCTTTCACAAGAAGCATCTCCATTCTTCGCTGGTTTTTTCCAAGGGTTTAGGGTTTAGGGTTCAGGGTTTAGGGTTTAGGGTTTAGGGTTTAGGGTTTAGGGTTTAGGTAATTGGGTTTCTTTTTTATCCTCTGGGCCTTTGGGTTTGGGGCTCACACATCTTGTTTCAGGACGGCTGTGTGCTGCTGGACGGACCTGCTGCAGCTTGGACCAGTTGTTGTAAGTCTTGCTCCGCTTCGGAGAGCACATGAAGCCGGGCTTGCATGGCAGTTCTTGGTAGGTGCATATAGGATCTCTGGGAAACCAGCAATAAACATCCCAATAGATCCACCACAGTCCCAGATTACACCTGCCCTAAACCCTAAACCCTAAACCCATCTGAAGGTGTGGAAGTCTGTTCCAGGCTCTGGGTAACTCATTCCAGAGGGCCACCCACGTGCATTGTAGTTTGGGATGTTCCCCCTTATACTAACAGTCCTTAATCGGGATTAGAGTACCTCCTACTCTTATCCCTAAAAAAGGACTGTTAGTAGAAGGGAACAGCCCAAACTGCGGTGCGTTTTGATTTCAGAGAACTTTCAATGCCTCACTTGTTCTTAGTAGGGAATGAAGGAAGCAGGTACTTTGTATTCTTATGTCCCCTACTATAGCAACAATTGAAGGGATGGTAGAGAGACCCTGCTCCGCTGTGATTCCCATAATCGAGTTTGTAGAGTTAACAGCGAGACCAACATCAGTCAGAGCAACTGCCACAAGACTTAAGACGAGGGGGGTTGGGTACTGTTGCCACGCAAGGCACGGAAAGGCATGTTGCTTCTGGAACTGCGTCTTCGCACCGTGCCACTTGGCTTCGGCGAGGTATCTTTGAGGATTACTCGGTCTGGCTTGGCATGGGTCCATGGCGGTGTTGCTTAGTGCGTGCCATACCCTTATAGGGCGCCAGCACGAAGCAGCCAGTACGCAAAAAAAAACGCCACCATCATGGTCATCGCTAGCTCTTAGGTAATACTAGGGGCAGCGGATGAAGTCCCATTCCTTCCTTATCACTTATCACCTTAGGTGTGTTGACATTCTGGAGCTGTGCGATCTACTGCTGCGGCTGCTTGCGCGACTTGTCGACGAGTCTATGGGTGAGATTTCTTCGTCAGGGGCATCTCCGCTTTTGCGGGGTTCCCGAACCCAGGAGTTTTTGGGGTTTCAAAGGCGGTTTGGGGAGCCCTCAGCCTTCCAAGCCCATCGAACTGAGACCTAAACCCTAGTCCATTTACTGACCCAAACCCCTCCCCCCCCCCCCACCCCCGTTTTCGGAACATCACAGACGTCATCGTAGGCACTGTAGGATGCTTAACGTAGGTTTGACGAATGTTGCTTCACTAGGTTCTAAGAGTTTCGAAAATTGAGAGACCTGAGACCCCCCCTAATCCCTAAACCCTAAACCCTCAACCCTCAACCCTCAACCCTACCCCCCACAAGTCCGAGAGGGCCCATAGCCACAGGAATCTGCTCCATCCGCTGCTGTGGAAGGCGCTCGCAGGGCGTTTCGGGTTTATAGGGGATGTAGAGTTGAGGGTTTAGGGGCCAGACCTACTTGGGAGTTCGAGGGTTTGGGGTACAATTTCGGGGCACAACTTCCCCTTAAAACTGAGGACTACACTGTGGGAGCAAATGGGCACATCTAGGCCGAATCTGGAAATCTCAAAGCCCCACAGAATCGAAGGTTGGATATTATCGGCCCTTAGTATGGTCCCTGATTATGTATAGTGTATATGAGGGCTCTATCACATTAGTATGGTCCCTGATTATGTACACTGTATATAAGGGGTTATATCACAGGGGACCCAAATCAAGGGCCCCAGACTTCGGATCCCCCTACAGAGCCGCCTCTACTCCTAGGTAGGATAAGGGGGACCCTTAAAAGGGAAGACCTTCTGAACCCTCTCCTGGCCCTCTTAAACAGGGACCTTCTTCAGAGGGTCTTTATCCCCAAGGGTCCCCCTAATCCTATCCCCTAGCTACGAAGGTGGTCTGGCACGTTTGCCGATCCCAGCTTCCCAGCCAACGCCGCCACTTTGGGGGAAGTCGTGCAGGAGGCCGCGGATGGGGCTTAGGGGTCCAGGGGGTTTGGGGTTTAGGGTTTTTGTGGGGTTTAGGGTTTAGGGTTTAGGGTTTAGGGTTTAGGGTTTAGGGTTTAGGGTTTAGGGTTTAGGGTTTAGGGTTTAGGGTTTAGGGTTTAGGGTTTAGGGTTTAGGGTGAGGGTTTAGGGTTTGGGAAGCCTCTCAGGTTCGGGGGTTCAAGGGTTTGGGTTGTTGTTGGGTTGTAGGTGGGGTTGGGGGGAACTAGGGTTCCAGGGCTTCTGGTTCAGGGATACAGTTGGGGCACTCGGGTTTAGGCCTGTTTTGGGGGCTGAATCCCTTCCCCCTAATATTAAACGGGGGGGCACCCCTCCCCCCCCTAAATGGAAACTGCAAAGTGCTTTTATACTTAGGGGGGGGGGGGGGGGGTTTATCCAAATGTCCTTAACCCTAAGCCCTAAACACTTAACCCTAGACCCCCAACCCTAAACCCTCTGAGGGTTTTATTGGTGTTGAGGGATTTATTGGAGGCCTGAACCCCCCCCCCCCCCCAATTCGGAATAGGGTTTAAAAGGCGGGCTCGGTTTCGGGAGGATTTTCCGGAATGTGTTTTTGTTATTAGGGGGGCGTTTAGTAAAAAGGGGAAGGGATTAGGGGGGTGCAGACGTTTCCGGGTTCGCGATTTTGGGAATGAGTTTGAAGGACTTCAGTTTCTCAGGCTTCGCAGCCCGAGCAGCATTCTGGGTTGGGTGCTAGGGCTCTTCTGATGTAAGGCCCTCTACCCTAAACCTTCCACCCTAAAACCTAAGTCCTGTTCGGCGACACGGTCTCCGGACCCGAACACCCCAGCCAAAGGTTGTCTGGCTGCGGGCCACACGACGCCTGTGCCAGAGGCGGCGTGCCCCAGGTGATTGTCGGCTTCGGGCATTTGACAGGAGCCCAAAGAATCAAAGTAATCCCCTTCGAAGCTCTGCAGAACCCACTCAAAACGGGCCCTTATAAGAGGTGCAAACCTGCCTCTACAAACTCTTAGTCCCAGCTTTAGTCTGAACCCATAAACACTTTGTGGTTTTGTTGCGGGGTTTTCACATATCAAGAGGGTGGGAGGTGTCCACGAATGAGAACTGCGGGCACCAAGTCGTGTGCCGCGGCACGGCCAGTGTTAACTTAGTACCTGAGTAGGCAACCTTCAACCTTTTGGGGTATATCTAATCCTACCATGATTGAAAAGTTAACCGTTTGTGGCCCAGGGTACTCAGCAACTAGGTCAAGCTTCGTGAGCTGGGCCGTTCCCAAAACCCGACGATCATGGCGATGTCTGCTTGCACGGTCCTTTCGTATGCGGCCACCAGGGATGGCCAGGCCAAAGCCCCCTACAAGCCGAAAGAAACTAGGTGGGCCTCCAGGTGTGCTAGTATCAGTCACAAGAGTACTTCATCATAGCAATGTCAAGAATGTAGCAGGATGAACAACGACAACAAAGACTACCGATGACATGAACAATGCCAATGCTTTAGTTTGGGATGTTCCCCCTTATACTAACAGTCCTTAATAGGGATTATAGTACCCCCCCTTATTTTAATCCCTGTTAAGGACCGTTAGTATACTCAGCTGAATAGGTACACTTTACACTTGCTGGGATACTATAATCCCCTATAGAACTGAAAGTGTACACTTTATGGTTCTTATGAACTCAGCAACCTAAGCATCAGGGGAACATCCCAACTTCGAGTCGTAAGAAAGTGCAGGGCCATTCAGCTGGTGGCATCCGACGTGGATCCGTGCCAGCTGTGCGCAGGTCGATGCCCTAGATTGGTGTGTGGAGGGCTAGCACCAAACCCTAAACCCCAAACTCAGTTAAGGGCTCCAGGGATGTTGATGCCGCCGTCAAGACCCAACCCTACATTTTTTCGTCATCTTTTTTGGGTGGGGCTTAGTGCTGTAGCTGGGGATTCTGGAGTACACTGGGGGGGTTGGCTCTACAAGATGGGCCCCGTTTGGTGGGGGGGGGGGAGGGATCTCCATTGTGGGCATCGTTTTTTGAGGGTTTCAGGTGCCTGCACAGGCAGGGCCCACGATTTTCTCCGCCCGCCCGCGCCCATTTTTTGTTGTCTTCTCCTGGGATGCCTCAGCCCTATAAGCCCTGGGTTAGTGGGTTAGATCCTAACCTTCCGAAGCATGAAACCCTAAGCAACTGCTGCCAAAAGCCCGGATGAAGCCTTACACTGTGCTGGAGTTCCGTCAGCCCATAGCAAGCCATGCCCTAAACCCTCAGCCCTTAGCCCTAAGCCGGGGGCTGCTGTGAAACCGCAGGTTTAGGGTTCAGGAGGGTTTAGGATTCAGCCGACCGCCCCGGAGCTGGCTGGCCTTTGAAGGAGACCTGCGCCATCGGAAGCTTCAAGCCACGTGAGGCGAAGCCCTGCCTTCGCAGATGCACCATGGGAGTTCCAGAAATGTGCACGTGGGTGGGGCCCGGCTCGGTGTGTACCACAGCACCACTACCCTTTTTCACTTTTGAGGCTTAGCTTCCCATAAAAAAATAGACAACAAAAAGGGAACTCTAGCTAGATCAAGACCACCATGAAAGACCCCACGCCAGTCCGAGAAGTTGTTTCCTGCCCGACAGTGACTAGAGCCGCACGCTGTCCTATTTCAACGGCCGATACCACCCGTACATAATCCTAGACCCTATCCCGATTCCCGAACATCCCTGAGCCCCCCAAAAACACTATAAACCTCCCCCGAGTCCTGAACATCCCTGAGCCCTACAGTCCGACAGCCGCGCTGTCGCTTCCAGCGAGGCGCAGAGGGCGACGTGTGGCTGCTGGCGGCTCTTGCGAGCCTCAGCGAGCACAGGCCTCTCCAGCATTTGTCGAATTCGAGGCTTTTGACCGTCAAAAGGTCTTCAGGCTCAAGAGCTGTAAGTAGTGCTTAAGGCGTTAGTAGAGAAACAGGCTTAGGCAGCAACAGGCAGTATGCATTTTGCGCTTTTTCCAACCGCATGCCAGAGACTGCTTATGTCTGTTGCCGTAGAAGCAGTTGTGCACCATGATGCACTGCTGTGCAAGTCTCCACTCAAATCTAACGCCCGGGACCCCAAACTCGAACAGCTAAGCCTACTTACTTCACTCGGAATTGAGGTGGGGGTGGGGTGTAACGGTTCATTTCTCCACTCCTACCCCTACAGTCGCACCCATATCACTCCACCACCCCCCCCCCCCTGAAGCACACCCGACACCCCAGTTCCGAAACGAGCCCAAGACCCGGTTCAGGGGAGCACTCCAGCAGATCTTCGAAAGCACGGAGGTCAATGTGCAAGGCCTCGGAGCGCTTGCAGGTTTGCTTGGGCGCTTGAAATTTAAGGAGCTGGGGAGTTTAGGGGTTTTAGGGTTTAGGGTTTAGGGTTCAGCTTGCTTGAAGGGATTATCGGGGATTAGGGTGTAGGATAACTTAGTAGCTCTTGTAAGTCCTGTAGATATAGGTTGAAGTGTGTTGGTTGAAAGGATGGCTTTTGTTTCGAGTGGGGTGTGTGCTTGAGGGACTTAAGTTAGGATGCCGGATGTCCACGCTGGATGTGCTTTGGCGGAGGGTGAAGGAACAAGCTAGGGATGTCTACTTGGATGCGCTTTGGCAGACGGGGGCGGCCGATTAATTTCCGAGAAGCAGAGCTGCGAGGGCATGGGGTAAGATCACCCACTCGGAAGTGGAAACCGTATCACCTTCCAATGGAGCGCCACCGTTCTTTTCAAATGCCGATTCGAATCAACACGCATGCTAAGCTTGCAGGTGAGCAGTAGTCCAGCACTGCAATCTAGGCTGAGCGTTTGGTTCGCAGGTGCAAAAGTTCACATGGGCATTGGCGGGTCGAGACGCTGTGGATCAAAGCGGGAGTCTAGCAAGTGTTCCAGCACTAAAAGCCAGAACACGCTCGAAGTACGCGTGCAGCACCCTCCCTCGTCCAGCTCTGTACAGGAGGCTAACTCTCAGTTTTTCCACGGGGTCCCACGCACACACACACACTAAACCTTAAGTCGCAAGACCTGTATACACAAAACACAAGGAGCTGAACATGTGGGCCTCGACAGCACCACCTTAAAGACACAGGCGGCTTGATGTCGGGGCATGCCAGAAACCTTGATCCCCGAAATCCGAAACTCTGAACCCCACGCCCTGCCGTATCTACAGGCAAGTATGTCGTCAAGCTCTTCGATGGAATCGAGGGGCGCTGGCGCAGGCTCGAAAGTTCATGTCTCAAGGATTGAGGGCACTCACTACGTAGTATCAATGAATCAAAGGTCAGGGCTGTGAGTGTCCGCTGAAGCGCAAGTTTCAAGTTTCAACAGCCAGGGAATGGGCGCTGTATCAGCAAGGCAAATTCGATGGCGAGGATCGCAATGCATCTATGCTCCCGGCAAAGATCCAGATGATTGCAGACCCTTTTTTCGACGTTCTCGTTTCCTTGGGCATTGTGTTCCTTGCTGCTTTCTTTTTCTCTGGATGGATGGCGGTTATTCCTTACCTGACGGTTCTTGCGGCCTCGCACAGCAGATCCTCAGAAACCTGCTTGCGGATGGCTCCTGGCGCATCGAAACCATGCTCTCTTGGCGCTTCATGCCGATGGTTCCACTGCGAGAGCCCAACGATGCTCCGGTCGCCCCTGCTTTCGCTCTGCTTTCACTCTGCATGAGCGATCCTGAGCCTTGTGCAACTAGCAGTCGCTAACCTAAAGCCCAACCTTCCCCCCAAACCTTAAACACGAAACAACACTGGTTTTCCATTGTGGCCCATGCGTGGGGGTTAAGGTTTAGAATTTGCGTGCGCAATATCAGGAGTTCAGACAGTTCTGTTGCCGCGAGTTGCAAGTGCAGAACCAGCTGCCTCGTGTCTTATTGTGGTCAGGCTTGGCCCTCTGGTGTCTGACATGCTACTCGTACCTTTTGCAAGCCCTACACCCGCCCCATGTCAAACTTCAGGCGCCCGAAGCCCATAGATGCCAAAGCCCTAGAAGCACCTTGGGAGGTACAGCATCTTGAACCACCAAAGCCCAGATCAGAACATAGAATCTTGTACTAGGCGCTGTAAGGAGTTGTCAGGGGCTTAGGGTCTTGTAGGGTGTGCGGGCTCTGGGGCTTTAAGGTTTTTAGGGCTTGTGGTGCCCGTTCATCGCTCCCGGTAGTTGAGCAGGATCATCGTGGATGTGCCCTGGATGCTTTTGCACTGCTAAACACATCAGGTTGCGGGTGCGGAGTCTTTGTGGGTTCAGGAAGCATCATGTTGACATTGACCAGAGTTCAGAGAACTGGACTATGTGGCCCTAAACCCTAAGCCCAAAACCTAAACATAAGCCCTAAACCCAGTCACTGGCAAAGAGTCTCACAATGTAATCATGGGATCCTCTATCTTCCCACCCCAACTACCCTCTCCACCCAACGGCCGCCCCAATGAGGATTCATTTCCAAGTTTAGGGTTTAGGGTTCAGGGTCTAGGGCTTGGAGCATCCCCACGACAGGTGGTATGCAGTTTGGTGGAGTCGCTTAGGGTTGCCTGCTGTGTTCTTTCGATGTCCACCCGCTGAGCCCTAAACATCTTGAACCACGCCTGACAGAAAGAATGAACCCCCAAGCCTTTGAACCCTAATGAAGCCCCAAGTCCCCTGAACCTGAAACCCTAAACGACACTAAGCCCTTGAACCCTCAACCCTGAGCTTCCTCTGCAGAAGCCCCCCCAACACGCAGACCAAGCTTGACGCCCTTAACCTCTCAGAAACCCGAAGCCCCTCAAAGCCGTAGACCCTTAAAGGGCCTAAACCCTAAAACCTAAACCCGATACCCTAAACCCTAAACCCTAAACCCTAAACCCTAAACCCTAAACCCTAAACCCTAAACCTTGGTAACATACGCAAGTCCCAGAGCCCCCCTTTTCTGAGCTGAGGACAGGATCCCCTGCCACAGAGCCGCCTACGAAAACAGCAAGGAGTTCAAGCCGATCTGCCTCCAGACGCAGGACTCCTCAGGGTTTTATAGGGTTTTTATAGGGTTTTTATAGGGTTTTTATAGGGTTTTTACAGGGTTTTGGGACTTGAGGGTGTTTGAGCTTTAGCAATTTAGGCGATCGGGTTTTTTGGGGGGTTTGGGGTTTAGGGTGATTCTGGGGCTCAGGCGTTGCAGGGTGGAGGCCCTCAGGGCTGGTGGGGTTGGGCATTTAGATTTGCTTGGGACACTTTTCTGAAGCCTTCGTGACGCTAGGCCCAAGCCAAGAGGGCCCTACAAAACCCTCGCTGTAAGCCCAAGACCCCAAATCCTTAAACCCTAAACCCCGAACCCCAAACTAAGCTCCCAAGAAAGCCACCCTCAGCTCTCCGAACCGTAGCGAATCCCTTGTTCTAGGGGGGGGCTTGGGGGGGGGGGGGGGGGGTTCCAAGAAGGGGGGAGGGGGATGGGGGAGTCCAGGAGTCCAGGAGTCTTGGAGCAAAGGGCTTCCCCGGTGCTCAAGATCTACACACAAAGCGAAAGCCCCCCCCCCTCAAGCCCTCAAACTTGGACCAAGTGAACCGAGGAGCTGAGCCCCCTCCTCGTCGAGAAGGCTGGGGGGGGGGGGGGGGGGAAGCAGCTGTTGAGAGGTGGAAGCGTTTAGGGCTGCGGCGAAGTAGCTCGGGTTTATTAAATGTCTTGTGTCTGGGGCCAGACAAGTAAGGAGAGAGCAGGGTTTCAAAGCTCAGGGCTTTGGCGTTGGCGGTCCAGAACTTCGGATGCTTTCAGAGTGTTGTAGCTTTAGTGGCCTGCAGGGCTTCCCAGCGTCATCCAGATAGACTTAAAAGAACAGGGGATTTCCTTCTGACATTGGGGGTCTGGGTCGATGTGCCATATACAGGTCCCATGAGCACCCTTCAACCCTAACCCCGCCCATCCGCTAAACATGCCATCCTACTTGTTTATGCAGAAGCTCATGTAATTTGGCTACTTACTCGCAAACTGGGCTCGCGCTTTGCCAGGCCTTCGCCAAGCTGTGTGGCAGTATCTTGGCCTGCCTGAAGACAGCATCCCGAAGCTCCAAGGTTTTTTTTTCTGGCAACGCGGTGCTATGATTCGGGGTTTAGCGCCTGGGGCGTTAATTTCGGGGGTCAGGGTTTCTTTGGTTTAGGCTTTAGAGCTTAGGGTTGGTTTCTCCAGCAACAAATGCATCTGCAGTGGCCATGTCGTAGTTTTATCCGCCACTAACAGGCCAAATCCACAGCAATCCAAAACAGTCGATACTGCTTCATCCTTAAGGAAATGCTGCTGGAACCCTAAACCCTAAACCCTAAACCCTAAACCACTGGCTCTTATGATAGCGGCCCTGCAGACATACACACCTCACCAGGAGTCTCCAGAAGTCTTAAACCAACCCATACGCTTGGAGTGAGTTCATCGTTGAGAGAACCATGAGTGAAGTGGTGGTTCGGCATGAACTACAGCTGAACTGCCGAGCTGCTTTCTGGGGTAATTATAGGGCTTAGGGTTTAGTGCAGGGTTTGGGTCTTGCGTTTAGGCTTAGGACTACACCTCGAACCCTAAACTCTAAACCCACACATCCTCACACACACACACACACACACACACAGAGCGAGAGAGAGACGCACAGACTCGCAGAGACACAGAGACACGGAGACAGAGACAGAGGCTACGGGCGGCTGCGTGGTTCTTCCACGGCCTGGGCCTTGAGAACGCTCACGGGACAGACCCCAAGGACGAGTTTCACTTACAAGGGCACCCCTCAACCCCTACGAGAGGGTTCGCCCGGGGAGGGGGACATAGGGAACCTTGGGGATGCTTTGGTTTCTGACTTTTTGACGTGAGGGAAGCCCCCTTCCGTGAACCCAAAGTCCCAATCACGCCAACCCCTTCGGGTGCGTGGAGGTGGAGCGTGGCGAATGTTCAGCATGAAGGGGCCAAGCCCAAACCACGAAACTAACACCCTAAACCTAACACCTTAAGCCCTTCACCCGAAACTTTATAGGGAGTTTGAGGGTCAGGGGCAAGGCTTCAGGGCTTTTCTTCTCTCCGGTTTGGGCCTTTTGCCGTCTTTCAACTGAAGATTACGGGTTCTTCGTAGGGAGTTCAGGAACTAGCTCTCCTACAACACTTCCCTCATGCATACCCCTGTTGAGGGAGAAGTTCCTGTACCTAATACCCTAGTTCCCAGGAATAAGGGAGTTCAGGTTGCCCTGAGGACAAAGGATTTGAGCAATTAGTTTGACACGCCGCCTTGTGGGGGGGGGGGGCTCTAAACCCCAAACCTTAAACCCTAAACCCTAAAGCCTCACTGTTTTGCAAACTTCACTGAGAGAGCCAAGAGTTCGCCCCGCAGGATCTTCGTCCGCGGCAAAGATTCCTGGGACAGCCGCGAGATGGAGGTCGCGGAGGGCGGCCTACTCTTAAAAGGCAAAAGGCCCGAAAAGACCCCAAAAGACCCTAAAAGGCCGCAAAGGGCTTTAAAAGGCCCGAAGAGGCCTTACAGGCACTAAAAGGACTCAAAAGGCCCTAAGCTTCTGGAGTTCTGTAGAATCTTGGCGCCATGGCCCATGAAGCACGTGCCGGCATAACTTGCTCCGCAGCCCTCTAAGGTGGGTAGGGCATCTTCGCGTGCTCGAACTTCATGGTCGAATTGCCGGACCCCTTAAACGCGAAGTACCCTGAACCCTTAAACCCGCAGTGGCTTCAGAATTGCATGGGTTTTTCCTTACCAGGACGAGCTGGATGCAACTGGCAAGCGCAGCTTCTGCTTGCTGGAAGCAGGCATTGTGAGCATAGGGGCCGTCTTGAAAACCTACAAAAACTCAAACGGAAACGCATTGGGGTCTCGAGTTTAGGGCTTTCGGTATGTACCCGCCTCTTAAGACCGTTTCAGTGGTTTAGGGGCTTCACGGGTTGCGTGGGGCTGATGAGGCTCCAGGGTGTTCAGCCCAGCCTTAAACAGGATATCCGGGTTGACAGCATGAATATCTTCGACACCTCAGAAGGAATGAGGTCTTCATGGTCATGAGTCCCTTTAAGGTTTGAAAGTTTGTGTTTTTTCCTCCCCCTGTCGTTTGCTCCATGTGTTCACGTGCACGTCTTTCTTAGCTGGATCTGCAGTCGAGAACGTGTTCATCTGGATCTTTGATTCGTGCAGCGAGCCAAAAAAACTTTAAGGGTACTTGATCTCACAAGGTTTTTGGGCATTGTGTGAGCGCATAAGAAAACCCTGTTTGCGCTCACAAAATGTTTCCCTTGCGTCTGTCCGTTCGCTTAAACTGCGCTCTTGCTAGGTTTTAAGGAATTTACTGACGCATGTAATGAACATAAAACGAGCGAAGTAAAATGAAGAACACATAAGGATGAATTCAGGCTTCCGTTGTGTTGCTTACTAGCCTCTGTCATCTTAATTCCCTAACTCCCTAATGCCAAGTTTGCAAAACAGAGCACATAAACAAGCGCCGGGCCCTAAACCCTACACCCGAAAGTCTCCCTGAAGATTCCAATGTCTCCCATGACGTCTTCTTCGATGTTCTGCGGAGACACTGCTACTCGGCTCAGTGCAGTTCATAGGGTAAACACAGAGCATGCGGAACTCTCAGCAGTTCAGGGATGTAGTGGTCCTTCTTCACTGCCTGATGGGCAGCATGGACGAGTTGCATGAGGAAATCGACTCGTTCACACGCACAATCTACTTGAGACCTCCTTCATTGAACCCTAAAGCCCCTACACCCTAAACCCTCAACCCTAAGCAGAGACTACCCCACTAAAGCGACGGACCCCAACACCCCTAAACACCCTGAAGCCACCCCCCCCCCCCCCCCCCCCCCCCCGCGAACGACCAAAAAGATACCTGAAGCTCCACAGAAGCTCCCTGAAAGCCCCCCCCCCCCCCGCCCCCCCCCAACCCCTACTACGCCCTGAAACTGAAGGTTTGCTGCAGAGCGTGGTCTGTGCGGCCGGCGCTGGCCCGGAGACCCTGAGCGGCAGCGAAAGCAGTTTGGAGGGCCGGCACTTACGGGTTTGGCGGGGTTTAGGGTGTAGGAAGGGTTGAGGGATGTTGGGTCTTGGGCGTTTCAGGGATGTTGGCTCTTGGGGTCTTGGGGTTTAGGGGACGTTGGGTCTTCGGGTTTTGGGGGGCGTAGGGTTCAGGACCTAGGGGTTTTGGGTCTTGACGTTGGGGGCGGGGGGGCGGGGGCGGCGGGGTGTCTTGGGTTATTTGCCCTCAGCAACCACTATCGAAACGACGCAAAGTAAAGGCAGGAAACCAAGAGCTTATCGAGGTTGGCTGCCCGTTCAAGATATCTACTTTTTGGTGAGCCAACTTGTAAAAAAAAAAAACCTATATGCCCTCAACCGAAACCCTAAACTCCTAAACCCTGCTCAAAGTCTGGAGACCCAGGACAGGCCTGAAGGCCAAGCACGCCTACAGCATTCTCGAGCTCTGCCGAGCCTCTGGGGCCCAAACCGTGTAACACGTAGAGGGGGGGGGGGGGGGGGGGGGGGCGTTCTAGTAGTCTAGGCGTGCTGAGGGCTGTAGCGTGTAGGGTTGTTTAGGTGCTAGGGAATAAATACATGAAAAGAACAATATGTCTATAATATATATATATATACATATGTATATGTTCTCAAAGAGCCTCTGTCAGGGGTCGGAAGCAGGATGGTTGGAGTACCAAACCACACAGAATCCAGAACATGGTCGCACAGCCTGTCAAGTTCCGCATTCGATGATAGGGCTGCTCGTGCCCAGGTCCCAGCAAACAAAAAGTCTGCAGAAGATTGGCGCTTCGTGAACCTTGGATTTGTTGAGCCTTACGTCTTGCGCAGTGGGCCATCAGGGCGAGCTGAGGGGTGAAGCCTCAAAGCTATCCACCTGATGCATACCGACTTTATATGTTATCGCTGGCCATCGTCTTCTTAGACTTAACGGCGCATTGAATGAGGAGGGTTTAACTGCCTTTACCTCGAACGACTGCTCTGCTCAACATCTTTGCACTGGATGCATGGGTTGTGTTCTTCCTCGAATGATGAGATTTTCAACACAGACGTAGGAGAGCCTTCTTGAGGCCGCTCGAGGCATGCAGGCCCTGGTGTGCAACCCTTTCCCTCAACCCTTAGCGCACTAAGCCCGAAAATCCCTGAAGCCCTAACACCCTAGAGCCCTGTAACCCTCATTGAATGAGGAAGATTCGCGATGCGTGGCAGAGCAACTGGCAGGCTGGTGCCCGCCCGAAATTATTTGAACCGACTCGCTGTTAAGGAACTCCAGCTCAGCTACAAGAGTATGGATGTATGATAAATGAGGCCGGTTTCCTTAGTATGGCATGTTGTTGAAGTTCTCAAAACTTGGACCCCTACGGAGACACCCCTTAGAGGTTCCCTTCAGATACTTATAACATGCTCCTTCGATCTTTAAACACGGTGTACAACCTTTAGGGGCCCAAGGTAAAAACCCATGAAGTTCCATCGCAGGAGCCCAGCAAAGCTCTCTGAGGTTCTGTTCGGCACAGGGCATTAAAGAAGTGTGTCGACCGCAGTCCCACTTCTCGCGGCCACCCGACTCTGTCGATGAAATGTTAGATGGGTACGGCTCAAATCAAGCCCTCGTCCCTAAACTCCCTAAACCCTAAGCCGCAGCTAGAACGCCGCCTCGCGATTGCCAGCCAGGTGGCCACTAAGCAGGTGAAACGGGTGCCGCCAGCAACTGAAAATTGCCACACACGTCGAAAACCATTCGGCTTCTCCCGAAGCGGCGTGACATGGTGTAGCTTTTCTTTTGGGTGGCGGGGTGTTGTGTGGGGGGTATGGGGGGGGGGGGGGGGGGGGGGGGGGGTCCCTTTGGTTTTCTCTTCTCCCGTGTGCTTCGGGGTCTTCTAAGTCAGGTATAAAAGGGCTATGCCTTAAATACTACCCACCAAAGCCACCAAAACTGAACCCTAAAACCCAGAGCCCTAAACCGGAAACCTTAACACACAACGCCCTAAACCCTAAACCCTAACCCCTAAACCCTAACCCCTAAACCCTAACCCCTAAACCCTAACCCCTAAACCCTAACCCCTAAACCCCCCTAAACCCCCCTAACACCCCTAACCCCGAACCCCTAACCCCGAACCCCTAACCCCTAGGCTAGGTTGGAAGAAGGCCCACCCCCCCCACCAAAGTACTCGATCCAGGGCTCCTGGAGCCGGCACAGCGCCCAATGGACCGCTGAGCCCGAGGCGCCTGGGGCGAACTCTTCGCTCTCTTGTAGGGCTTTAAGGTTTGAGGTTTTTTTTTTTTTTTATAAGGGCTTTGAGAGGGTTTTTTTTAGGAAGGCTTGAGGGTATCAATTGTTGAGGGTGTTAGGGTCTGAGGGGTTCAGGGTTTCAGGGTTTAAGGGCTAAGGTTTCGCGCGCCAGGGCCCAAACTGCCGACCTGACTTTGGGGGTGGGCTTCTGAGATAGTGCAAGCCTTTCTTGGCGCAGGCAGGGCAACTCCTCGCTCAGCAGCTCCAACTCGACACACACCCCTAGACCCTAAACCCTAGACCCTAAACCCTAAACCCTAGACCCTAAACCCTAAACCCTAGACCCTAGACCCTAAACCCTAAACCCCATGGCTTCGAAGGGCAAAAGACGCCTCCACTCGGCACATCCTGAAAATCTTAGAAGCCCCTCGAAGCGCTAGAATCCCTCGGAAATGCAGGCTTTAGGGCTTAGGGTTTCGGGTTTCAGGGGTTTTAGGGTTTTAGGGGTTTAGGGTTTCGGGTTTCAGGGGTTTTAGGGTTTTAGGGTTTTAGGGTTTAGGGTTTAGGGTTTAGGGTTTAGGGTTTTAGGGTTTTAGGGTTTTAGGGTTTTAGGGTTTAGGGTTTAGGGTTTAGGGTTTAGGGTTTTCGAGGAGCCTCGAAGTCCCTCGCCCGAGGTGCGGCGGCACCTGGACTTCCGCGCGGGGGACGCGAGCGCCTTCTGGATGTCCTGGAGCCTCGACAGTTTAGGGTTTAGGGTTTAGGGTTTAGGGTTTAGGGTTTAGGGTTTAGGGTTTAGGGTTTAGGGAAGAGCTGGGAAGTGAGCGCTGTCTGGGGGGGGGGGGGGGTTTGGGGTTTCGGAGGCTTAGGGTTTAGGGTTTAGGGTTCAGGGTTTAGGGTTTAGGGTTTAGTGTTTTAGTGGTTTAGTGGTTTAGTGGTTTAGTGGTTTAGTGGTTTAGTGGTTTAGGGTTTAGGGTTTGGGGTTTGGGGTTTGGGGCTTAGGGTTTAGGGAGGCCTTATAGGGCTTTGTAGGGCTTTTGCGGGTGTGTAGGGTTGTTGGGCTAGTGTAGGCTTCGTAGGGTTCGTAGTGCTTGTCTGGTTCGGGGTTTTTAAAGGCGTGCAGGGTTCGTCTTCAGGGTTTAGGCCCTGAACCCTAAACCCTGAACCCTGAACCCTAAACCCTAAACCCTAAACCCTGAACCGTTCTGAAGGGTGGGCGGCTTCAAGACTTCAACCTACTAAAACTGGTTCCTAGTAGGGAAAGAGGTGAGGCACTTTGGATGTTACCCCTTGTACTACCAGTCCTTAATCGGGATTACCCCTGTCAAGGACTGTTAGTATAAGGGGGAACATCCCAATTAGGCACCTTATATAACCCTCATAGAACCCTCAACCCTAAACCCTAAACCCTCAATATCCGCAAGAAGCCCTGCTAGCAAGCCCTTGCCTCCTGATATCTCACCGCCGAGGGAGGAGTTCTTCCAAACCTGGCGGACCGTCGCTGTGGTGCCTCCGAAGCAGCAGTTGTCATTGTGGAAGAGAGTTTAGGGTTTAGGGTCTAGGGTTTAGGGTTAGGGTTTAGGGTATTTCTAGGGCGACTTCAACACAATAAGGAACAAAAACAAAACTGTTCTTCCCTCGCTACGCCTCCGGTGCATGCCATGCCACCAGATGAGCCGTTCTGCTAGTGTTAGAGTGCGTGTAGGGTTCAGGGAGGTTAAAGCAAGTGCACATGGGGCAGGGTTTTAGGGCAACTGGGGTTTGGGGCTTCAGGTCAGGAGTTTCCAGAGATATTCAGGGTTTAACTTGATTGGGTACCGAGTTAGCCCGTCAACCCTTAAAGACAAAACTGAGTAGGCATCATTGAGTGCTAAGCCCTACCAAACCCCATTTACCACCCAAAGGTTCATCCCTTGCCCCCAGCAAGACTCGGCCAGTATGCGGGGTGCACTCGAAGCGTCGAAGTGGGATTGAGAGGCAGACTTCTTTGCAGTTGGTGCAGAGTTTCTGAGCTGAGGAGGTGTTTGAGTGACGGTTTGATCTGAGCGCGGAGCGAGCATTCATTCCATGTCTGTTGAGTCTGTTGCATGGCAAGAGTCGTTGTTGCTCGAATCATATCAGCAGCTAGGAGAGCAACTAGCCAAAGCAGTCATTAAGAGACCTGCAGTACTTGGACGAAGCTCTGAAAGGGCATGGAAAGTTGTCGCCAGTTGGGGTGCGTGCGGCATGCGAGAAGGAGCTTTTCCGGACAGACGCGAAATCTGAAAGCTCACCGTCTATCTGCAGCGTGAGAATGCTCACGCGATCCTCTGCCAACTGGATCCACCCGAGCCGCCTGCGCTTGAGCCAGCCTCGCCACCCCTGCCGCCCCTGCCACTGTACTCCTCCCCCGGCCTTTGGTGGATCAGCGCCCTTTCACCTGTTTGGCCTCTGCTTGGGTCAGTCAACCTCCGCCTCCGCTTGGGTCAGTCAAGCTCCTCGGCCCTGATTTTGATCTGAGCCCCCCTCGCTTGTACAGAAGTCGACGTAGGCCTTCAAGCCTGTAGGCGTTTTAGTCGTTTTGTTTGTTCGTGCCACCCTCAGAAGCAGGACCGTTGGCACAAGGGTTTGCTTGCGAGAGATCACCCTGATCACCCTCACGAACACTGATACGGCCAGGTTCGACCCCAACTTGCGTGCGCGATTCGATTTGGCAATTTCAAAGGTGTGCTGCTGCATGATCTCTTGGAAACGGGCGTGCAGCTCTACAAGGAAATCAAGATGGCCAAGGCGGCGAAGGGTTGGCCAGCGACGCAGGCCAAGGCTCAGAAGTCTGCTACAGTAAGAGGGACGCACTCCGTGCGCGGGCTCCTTGGGATTATACGTCGCTGGCATTGCCACATGTTCGCAAACGCGAATCGCTGAAGTATGGGTTGAGGGAACAGTCTGTGCCCTGGGTCGTCTCTTCCCCTACCAATGTGACAAGACTTCAGCGCGCACCGAGTTGAAAAAATGAAGGTGGCGTGGCACGTCTGCTTTCGGCCTGCGTTAGAATCCCGCCAAGCTTGGCGCACAAAGGGCTCGCTTGCACCCGTTAAACCCAGACCCAACTATGGTGCCCGAGACAAGAAACCCTCAACCCTCAACCCTAACGCTACACCCAGCTCAGGTGGAAAGACCCGTCGGCGTGGCCGCCCTTCACTTTGAGGTCATTGGCGACTCGGTGTGTGCCGCCCAACTACATGGGGAGATATTTTCGTTTTTTGGGGCAGGATTTAGAGTTTTGGATTTTAGGGTTGATGTTCAGGCACAAGTACTGGCAGCGGGCCCTTTATGGGGACCCAGTTTGGCAACCCCGCACATTCACTTTGTGTCTGGAGGGGCAACGGACTAAGGACCCGGCAGCCGCCTGCCTCCTCGGCTGCGCCTCATTCTGGGCAGGTGAGGGCTGCCCCTTGGATCTTCAGAGCCTCTTGAGGGGGAGTCGTTTCATCCGAAAACACAGCACACTGTTCAGGCAGCTGACCCCCTGAAGCCTGGGGCACCAAGCCGTCTCAGGCAACTGCGAAACTGTTGAACTTTCCCAGAACTGCCCACACCTGTCCGTACAAGTCAAGTGACGAATCCCCGCCCTTTCAAACCCCGCCAAACCGGCAACCTAGCATTGCTTGTCCGTGTTACTTACGTCTAAATATCGGCTGGTGAATGTGCCAGGTGCGCATGCGGATGGGTTGTACTGCACGCGAAGTACTGCACGCGAAAGAGAGCCCTTTTCTGGCGCAGCCGCGGCTAAAGACGGGTTGAAAGCTGTGCTGAAATTCTACACAAAAGTCACGACAGGCCATTGAACCCTGAAATTGGTATGTCCTGAAGCTTTCCTACACCCTCAAACAGAATATTTGGACCCTCAACGCGTCACCCTGAGCCCTCAAGCCCGAATCACATCGAGTTCTTTGGGGTTTAAGGACCCGGGGTTAGGCTTCAGGGTTAATCGGTTATATGGGGTTCGGCCCAGGCCATGGCACCGCGTGGGATATCCGATTCTTGGTTCGGGTGGCTGAACTAGAAAAGTCGACTCGAAAGACTAAGAGTCATTGGGAGCTTCTGAAGCGTTGACACACCCTAAACCCTAAGCCCAGTTTGATGAGACAGAGGTCAAAGACTTTACAGCCCCGCACACGGCCTGCAAGGCGAGTTTCTGGACAGCAAAGAGAGGGTTCCTTAGGCTTAGGGTCTTTCGGGGTCAGTGTTGCTGAAGTTTCGAGGCTTTGCTTTCGGGCAAAGGGGCACTGAACCCCGGAGCCTGAACTCAAGTTCAGGCCCTCTAAACAATAACATTGGCTTGTTAGTGTCTTAGTTTCCTCGGCGATTGCAAGTTCTCAGCTTCAGCCGGCTCTCTACGTGTGTTCGGGGATTTTATGGCCTCTGATATCAGGGGTTCAGGGCTTGCGGCTTGGGAATGACAGGTCGTTTTGTTTTGGGGGGGGGGGGGGGGGGGGGGGGGGTTTAGGGTTCTGGGGCTTAAGCAGCTGAGGAGGATCTGAGTGAGAGCAAAGCAGCAGATAGGAGCGTCCGTGCGAGAAGGGCAACTTTGGTGTGAGCTGCATCCAATGTACCCGAATCCCTAGACCCTTAAACACTAAACCCCTGAGCCCCAAGCCCTCAACCTCAGCCCTAAGCCCTAAACCCTAAACCGAAGCTCAATGTAGACTTCCTTCTAAGACCCTGCCACCAGCTTTTTGCAACCCTTGATGCAAACCCTAAACCCTAAACCCTCAACCTACACCCTACACACTACACACTACACCCTACACCCTACACCCTACACCCTACACCCTACACCCTACACCCTAAACCCTAAACCCTAAACCCTAAACCCTAAACCCTAAACCCTAAACCCTAAACCCTAAACCCTAAACCCTAAACCCTAAACCCTAAACCCTAAACCCGAACCCCACGACCCGAATCTGATCGCTCTCTTCCGAGGACCTACTCGCTCCAAGCGTCGCCATCTTTGACGATGTGCCTCGATGTGAAAGCTTAAAGCTCCCCTCCATTCCTCGCAATCTCAACACGTACTCCAGTAGAGTTGACGGTGTTTATCTGTGCTTCTGGTGTCTTTGCCTTTTTCCTGTTTGGAAGGTGGTCAGCTTTTGTGTAGACAACTTCCTATCTCTTGGTCCTATCTTGACAGTACAAAGTTATCTTCTTATGTCATGGTGCATTATTCGCTTCGCTCATGCACCTGTAATATTTCTATAATTCCAGGGGCAAGATATTAAATTAGTTATAAAGGTACTAAGGGATGTGGATATGATTGTACTTTATGAACGGCCCATAGTTACAATGTTTGTGGGGGCAGTTAATGCATTCAATAATGTGCTCATTTGCTTGAAGCATTATCTTAGGACGTACACTATAGTGAGTGTGAAAGGGACAAAAGTAATTTATTCACTCTCTTTTTCTTTTTTTCTCTTCTTATTTCTTCGCTCACTTACTGTTTTTCGAACACTACATTCATTTCATTTGCACACAGAATTCATGAGCTCTCTTTATTCGCGCGGTAATGTAGAATGTGAATATTGTGTTCTTTTGTGAGGAAGTTCTTTCTGCGGGCGGTTACAAAGAGCGTGGGATTCATGGGCAAGACTGACGGGTGGGATGGATGCTTAAAGCCCCGAAACCTCCCCCTTTCCAGTAATACGTAAAATCCCTGATATGAATCATGTCTAACATCGTGAAGAATCAGAAAGTGCTGGAGGAATGGGATTCTACAGCAGTAGGGGTCTGGGCAGAGGTGGAACGGGTTCGTTTGTTGTTCCTGTGAGGTTTAGGGTTTAGTGTGTAAGTGTAGGTCCTGTAAGGTGTTTTCTTGGTATGTCATGTGGGCATGGCAGTTGCAGGTCTTCAAGCAACGCAATTTTGTTAGTCGTTGGAGATCTCAAACCTCTTTTTGAGGCAGAAAACTGGCCCTCACTCAGCCCTTCTCTTGAGGGTTCTCTTGACATACTGTGTGGGGGAGGTCTCGTGTATGTTTGCTAGCCAGCTTCTTTCCGGTGACGTAGTAGACTCTTGGGGCAGCACTCGAAATTACAGCCCCTTGTGGGGGTCTTAAAGGAGCCCAAATCTTGTAGCCCCCCCAAAAATTGAGACATGCGCTGCCCCATAATGCCATTCCGATTAAGAGGGCCCTGACTACACATGTTGAGGCTGGGGAAGGACATTGAGAAGGAATGATGTCCAAGTGAGGAATGACTGATAATGCCATTGCCGGACTCTGCTGCAGAAGCCATGTTCGACCTGCCTCCCTCGAGTTTCTCAGACCCCAAACCCGAAAACACCGAAACCCTAAGCTTTAAAAATGGATTCTAGGCAGCAGATTCTGGCTTACAGCCCATGGGCTTCAAAGAAGGCCATGTAGCTGTGCTACACGGTAGGCGAGGCAGGCGTTGGGCGGCAGGGAGAACACCAGCCAACAGAAGCTCCTGTCTCTACTTCTGGAGTTAATCAAGAAATCTGCAAGTGCTCAAAATACCAACAGAACTTATAGGCCTAATACCACTAGCACTACCAACAGTATGAACAGCACTCCTTGTACAAATCGTGAAGCTGACATCTGGCACCCTGGGCCGTGCTCTCCCCAGCCCACCCTGCGTCAAGTCCAGTTAACGAACCGGCCAGGGTCCGCAGAACCCTACACGGCCATGAGCCCTAAGCCCTACACCCGAAGCGCTAAACCCTAAAGCCTAGGCATTCCTTGGACCCTAAACCCAAGAACGCACTCTCGTGCCCTGAGCCTCCACGCTGGGCGGCGTCTGTCGGAGCCCGCTCAAAAAGACCTGTGAGCCTGTGGCAAAATCGTCAGCAACAAAGGCATAAATGCCTCTAAGTCACTGAGTTCCCCTGCTTGCATGTCAAGACCTAGATATTCAAAAGCTGTATATTGCCTGTGGTGGCCCAACCCTCTGCAAACCCAACCCGGCCCCTCAAGCTCCGAAGCCTCTAGCTCCTCAAGTTCAAGATCCCAAACAATCCCACAGGCTGAATCTTACCCGAAAACCCTAAGCCCTAACCCTGACTAACCCTAAACCCTACAAACAAGGCCCAACAAGCCTCGAGCCTCGGTCGCTCGAGGTCCGAGGCCGCATGGAACGCCTCAAGCAGGCGTCGCGCGACCACGACGAGGCGGAAGCTTTCCAGCTGGCGACTAACGGCTTTGAGGGTTTAGGGTTCAGGGTTTAGGGTTTAGGGTTATGGCCTTGGGGGGGGGGGGGGGGGGCAAACATAGGGTCTTAAGCTGTTCAACGGTGTTATGGATACGGCTGAGGGTTGGGCTTTGGCTTCTCGCGAAAAGGCTCTGTAACCGTAACCCTAAAGACCCCAACCCCTAAGCCCTGAACCCTAGCTACACCCTAAATAACCGAAATCCCGGAAATCCGAACCCTGAACCTTAAACTCTACAAGCCCCCAAACCCAGCACCCCAAGCCCTCCTAAGCCCCAAACCCAGCACCCCAAACCCTCCTAAGCCCCAAACCCAGCACCCCAAACCCTCCTAAGCCCCAAACCCTCCTAAGCCCCAAACCCAGAACCCAGCAGTGCCCGGACCTCCCGTTGCCAGGCTGTTCGGCGCGAGCAGTTCATAGCCAACTACGAAGATGCCCCGCAGCTGCGAACTAGGGGCACAGCTTATCTGGGTCTTGGAGTACTATACTTTAATACTTTTTTTGGTTCTGGGTTCCTGTTATAGCTACTTATACCTATAAAGTATATACTTTTTTCCAGGGTCTACTCCAAAGCTAAGTTATTGAGGGAGGAGGCCCAACAAGACCTTTGAGGGTTTTGGGTGTGCGGGTTTTGGGGATGTAGGGTTTGGGGATTGGGGGGTGTTGTGGTTTGGGCTTGTGGGACTTGGGGGGTGAGGCAATCGAGCCCCAGAACTCTGAACCGCCTGAAACGTTCCATAAATCGTCCGGGATAGCCAGTAAATAGTTTTGGGTTAGGCCTTAAGGAAAGCAAAAGGTTTCGGAAGTTCTGAGCGGCGTGGGTACTTCTCAGTAACCCTCCCAATACATACAGCTACCGTACTTATAACCCAAATCCCCCCCAGAAAAAATTAGACAACAACTAATAATCCACCCTACACCTACAAACTCTGCACTCTGCAAACCATACACCCTATAACAGCCCCTTCAACCTATAACCCTGGGACTCCAAGGCACGTCAGGGTGTGCAGGAGCGCATGCGCTCTCTCATGGCCGGGCGGCTCAGCCCCGGTCATTCGAGCACTGGATGTCGCGGTTTGGGGTTGAAGGGGTGTTCTCAGGGTACACTGCAACCCGAGATACCCCTAAATCCTAAACCCTACATGCCGCAAACGAAGCCCTTGTACCCTAGACCGTAATCCCGAATGCCCCAGATCAACCCTAGGTACCGTAAACCCTAGGCCCCAGATACCCCAGAGCCCAGCCAAACACTAAGCACCCTAAACCCTATACGAAACCCTAAACCCTGAACCCTGAACAACGAATCCTGCCTCTTGGGGAGTTGAAGGCGTAGCTACGAGGAGTCCAGCGGGCAGTTGGGGTAGGTAGGGGCACTTGGTTTGAGGTAGATAGGGGTATATTCAGGGTTTGGGGTTTCGGACGTCAGGCACAGGGTGTTGCGCTTCTGGGGGGGGGGGGGGGGGGGGGGCAGGGCAGGGTTTTGGAGTTTGGGGTTTGGGGTTTGCTTCCGACTTTATGCGCTCTTTGCTCAGAAAGTCAGAGAAAGTTGCTCAGAATGTCAAAGAAGTCTCGGGTTTTTTTTCTGTGGTTTCGCGCCTTCGGCTCCGAGGACAGAAAGGTTTTAAGGGGCTTAGGGCTTAGGGACTTCGAAGACTGAAGAGACTGAAGAGACTGAAGGGTCCAAGAGGGGGTGCTCTTGGGTCTGAGGGGCATTGAAATGCACCTCTTCAGGCTGAGCCCTAGGACTGAGGGGCTCAGTCGCCCTTCTCTTCGTAGCCCATGCCTTGCCTTTGAGAAGGGCCTTTGACACAACACCTCGCTCTCAGGGTTTCGGGGTTCGGGGCTTAGGGTTGGGGACCCCCATGGCCATCCGGGGGCTTGGACAGGCGCAGCTGCGATCAGAGATGTTGCGGAGCCCTGTCGCCGCCTCTGGATCCAGGGTGAGTCTCTTGCACGTGCCTTGTGGCCCCAGTTTCCCGAATCCCTCGCTAGGATGCGGGCATGTAGCGCAGCCCCTCACCGTCACCCGTATACCTACCTACAAGGTTCCCATGGTCGGGAGGTGGAGTTGTTTCTTCAGTCAAAGCCTACAAGAGAGCCTAGCCCCAAAACAGAAAGGACAAAGGGAACGACTGGGGTTCCTCGCAGGTGTAAGGCTTCGGTGGATTGAACCTTACAAGAGGCACAACATCCTCTGAATCCTTCTGAGCCTTCGAGAACTCGAGAGCAGCCAAGTTTCGAGCGACCACTACCTACGCCCTAAACGCCGCTCGAACTACCCATGACCCGAACTTTCAGAGTGGGCATTGAGTGGGGCGTTCGGGTGCCCAGCTCTAGGTCCCCCCGTAGCGTAGCCCAGTGTTGTGCAGAAAGCCCTCCCCCCCCTAAACCCTGAAGACAAAAATGCTCCTCAACAAGCCCAGCAAGCACAGGCTCACAAGCAGAAACCGACAGCCGTGCCACCCACCTGGACCGAGGCTCTGCCGGTCCGTTACCTTCAGTTTATTTCAGAATTGAGGGTTTAAGTTTTAGGGTAAGGGTTTAGGATGTTTAGGTTTAGGGTTGAATTTGGCTTCAGTTCTTTGGGGTCTTAAGGCTTAGAGCACTCAGGTTTCCACCTGTAGGGCTGAGGGTTCAGGGCTTAGGTCTCATGTGGAGGTTTTGAGCCGGTTCAGATGTGTTTGGGGCTTAAGGTTGGATCCGGCTGCTCACGCTTCAGGGAGAGTCCACGGCCCTACGTTTCGGGCACAACCGACACCGAGGAAGTGGAGCCCTTCAGTCCTAGCAAGCTTGTTCCGAAAGATTTGTTGGGTGCTTGGGTATCCTGCCGCAGCAGAGCATGTCAAGGCGCCTCCAGCTTGGAACATGGCATGCACGTGGCGCCGCCATGTAGCATACGGTCTTGCTGTGTTGACGAAGTGCGTTTTCGGACTTAGCTGCTACGCAGTTCTGCCTAGCTAGAAGCGTCTGGCGTGCTCTTGAGAACAAGGAGTGCTGCTCTTACTCGAGTTACTTCGTAGGCCTTCACCCAACTTGCGCAAGCACTCAGGCCCTGTCCGCACCTGATCCTAGCATCGTGAGCCATGGCCTCGAGCAAGGATGTTGGATCTGACCACCCGGAGGAGTCCGAGGGGCTCAAGGTTTCGAAGCAGACTAGCCAGGAGAAGGTGGATCCGGGGGCGGGTAGAGGCTTAGGCTTAGGCTTATTGGGAAGATGCGGCAGGCCCTACGTACGAAGCCTCCAGAGCCTGTCAGCTCCACTTAAGCGCTTGAAAACCCAAAATGAAGCACTCTAGCTCTCTCTGTCTCTCTCTCTCTCTCTCTCTCTCTCTCTCTCTCCACACCGTACTTGCCAAGAGGGCTGCCCGCAAAATCCTCCCCAAAGGAACCCCCCAAAATGGCACCCCGGTTCTAGGAACCCCTCTTCTAAGGGAACTGATCACAAGGTGCCCCCCCCCCGCCCCCAACACAAATCGTCGAAACCCTGAAACTCGGGCTGGGAAGCCCCTGCCAACACAAGCCTCAACCCCGCTGGATTCCGGGAAGGTGGCACCCAAAGAGACCTGCAGTGTCTGCGAAGCAGTTCTTGGCAGCACGGTCCCGGAACGGCTCAAGGAGTTGAGAGTTTCAGGGTTGTAGGGGGGTTGGCTGGGGTCTAGGGCTGCAGGCCTCAGGCAGGGAAACTTCAGGTCACTGAACTCGAAAGGTTGAGAGTGCATGGGACTTGATTCTGCTTTGAGGAAGTGCGCTTCGCGCTTTGAGGGCTACTACCGCCACTCGAAGAAACCCGAAGAAGCATTTAGGGCCCCCTCTGAGAAAGCTTGGTGAAACCCCATGCGCGGCTCAGGCAAGCGGCATTTCAACCCGAAGCACCAGTGCCGCCTTTGCGGCCCCTCGAGCCTTCAAAGGGGGCGGGGCGGGGAGTGGGGGGAGGGGGGGGGGGGCCTGAGAGTCTGTTTTGGGGATGTAAGATGTTGGGGTTGTTAAGTTGCCAGGGTTGGGCTGGAGCTGGT